CACTCCATTAGCCTTGGCCCCAACCAAACTCACGTGACGATCCGAACCATGCTCTTAGTCAGGTCGTGATGACGCAACATGGCATGGCAAGTTCAACGTAAAAAAGGTCATCGGAAATTTCCCATTTTCTCCACTCGCTCCGATTAAACTTGTATTTTCACACATAACCTCAATGGTATAAACATACACGAAGTCAAAATTTTATTATGTGCATTACTTACAAACAGATGTTTTGCTTGTCCCATAGGGTGTTTACACGAATTGAACTGTGACAATGATGAATAAAATTCCATATACTGTATTCGGTTGTGTCATGTGTGCTCATGAATGTGTTGGAATGCAATGTGTGTTGATGATTCGGCAAGTTTTACCTTGAAAGAATCAATCGTCGTGGCACACAACTGTAAATGTCCGGAGGCGAAGTTACGAAAACAAGCTTGTCCGCTATATTGTTTGTCTTTTGATATTCTTATGGGCATCTTCCATGAATAGAATCGTTTCTTTATCTGTGTCTGCGTTCCGGAATTATTGGCTACACTTTACCTCCGGCTAAACAATCCTTATTCATTTCTATCACCTGATACACGGATAGAAGATAACCTTTTGTATGTGTCGTTCATGTCAAATACATAGCTGAAGGTATCCGCGGTAGCCTAGTCAGTGAATTTACGCTACCGATGGTTCATTTACAGGACGATCTGGCTGTATAATGCTTGTAAAGTTTTTTCTTAGTTAATGTGTGACTCATTTACGTCGGATTACTAAGATGACCTAAACATTCGTCGTGTAGAATGATGTGCAAAAATTTGTTTTCATTAATAATGTGTCTTATCTGAGCCATAGTCAGACCTTTTCATGCATGGTTTTACTATCTTTCTACATACAGGGGCAGCACGTCTATAGTAGTATTGATATGGCTTTATGAATTCCACACCATGTGAAGTCCGCATCGCATTTCAGCATCTGGTTTGTTTCCAACCAGTTTCTATCCTCACTCTCACATGGTCCTGTTTGTGGTCTCAGTTTTCCCCCCGGACTGTGCAGAATTTTGTCCGATGACATCAAACCTTATAGAGCTTGCAAACAACCCTCCACTCCCTACCTGGTTTACTCGTTGTGATCCCTTTTGTTGTGCACCCCCTTCCCTGTGTCCTGATGTGGATTTCTAAACGTTGTGCATTTTATCCGTTCTTATTCCAGTTATCCGTTACAAGGTCTTCAGGATCAGTCTCTACTCAACGATCAGAAGTTGTCAGAACCGAAAAAATCGGCCGACTCCGGAATTTTGGAAAACACAATCGGACAGCTAACTAGTCGACGTCCATCTGCAGTATCCGGCGGGTAAGTTTTGTACTCTTGTTCCGCTACTGTTTGATTTTGATGAAAGATGCATTTCCCGATGTGTTCCATCTAATCGAAGACGAGAAGCATGTTGCCCAGAGTGAACTGGTGTTTCTTTCGATCTCGTCAAATCGGGGATGTTTGCAAGACAACATCCGGTTAGCCATCGTGGCTCATTTGCTACATTGAGTGACAGATATACACCAAAAATTCCAAAACAACTGATAGTTGGTCTTGTTCATCACCTGAGTGCCGTAAGAATGCATACCATTGTCAAACGGAGACATCTAA